GGGCCTCCAGGCAGAGGCGGCCGGACCCGGCGGCGGCTGCTGTAGGTTCGTACCTGATACCGATAGTGAAACCGAGGCTGTGGTTGGGAGTAAGGAGCCCCGGATGGTGACCGGTGGGGGGGACAGGGGACGGGACCGCCTGGCGCTTCCGAAACGAAACGGGGATGAACGGAACGTGCGATCCCGATGCTCTATCCACTGAGCCACACCAGTTAGGTCCAGGGCAGGGATTTTTCTTAAAACACACACTCCTCCGTTGGTATCCGAGTCACGGCACCAAAAACACACACACACACAAAACGTCCGCTCTATCCACTGAGCCACACCGGTTAGGTCCGGGGCAGAGATTTTTTTTTTTAACACACACACTCCTCGGTTGGTATCCGAGTCACGGCACCAAAAAAAAAACCAAACACACACACAAGACAATTTTTATTTCAGAGAGGAAGGGCGAGGGGGAGATAGAAACATCAGTGATGAGAGAGACTTATCGTGCCCCCTGCACGCCCCCTACTGGGGATCAAGCCCACAACCCAGGCATGTGCCCTGACTGGGAATCGAACCCAGGACCTCTTGGTCCACGGGACAACGCGCAATCCACTGAGCCACCACAGCCAGACCCGGGCAGGGATTTTTAATGGGGATGGATTAGGTTGGAAACTTCACTCACGGGTCTGCCTGTGAACCCCGAGTGACCTCAGGCCTGGAGCGAGGAGGGACTCCGGTGTGGGTTAGTCAGGTCCTTCCCACTCATGTGCCCTTGACCAGAATTGAACCCAGGACCAGGTCAACGCTCTGTCCACTGAGCCAAACCAGCTAGGGCTTGTTTCCAAGTACCTGAGGCTCTCCATCGCTTTCTGGTGTCGACCTGGACTAATTTCACTGATGGCCAGCTGTCTTCTAGAGTTCTGGTCAACCTCGGCACTGGGTATCTCACGGAGGGACTCCAGTGTGGGTTAGTCGGGTCCTTCCCACTCACTTTATGCTGATTGATCACCTTCTCACTAGTCAGGACGCATCACTACCGTTTCCATAGCAGCAGCATCAAACACAGGTGGTCATGCATCCGAGTCACCATAGTTACCGAGGTTGGGGAGGAGGAGCACAGAGGTGGTAAAACTCATCAAGCCTGCCTCTCCTTCCCCGTGCCCCGTGGGCCTTGGGCCTGCATGCCCAGTCAGTCTCTTGGATTGTTGGCCCTATAGGCAACGAGAAACTACAAAGTCCAAGTGTAAACCTTTAAAGCAGGTTGAGAGTGGTGTCGGGAACAGCCCCAGGCACCTGCCACAGCCACCTCCGCCAGCAACTGCAGGGAAAGGTGTGTGGTGTTGCTGTTCAATTTGGGGCATGAAAATGTAGGTTAAAAAAACTACACTTGGGACCTGGCTGGTTTGGCTCAGTGGATAGAGCATTGGCCTGGGGACTGAAGGGTCCCGGGTTCGATTCCGGTCAAGGGCACATGCCTGGATTGTGGGCTTGATCCCCAGTGGGGGGCTTGCGGGAGGCAGCCAATCAGTGATTCTCTCATCATTGATGTATCTCTCCCTCTCCCTCTCTGGAATCAATAAAAATTAAAAAATTTAAAAAAAAAACTACACTTAGTTGATTTTATTCTAAGCTGACAACAGTTAGCAAGGTTCCTGTAATCACACCTCCGTATCCAAAGTGGAAGTATACTTTTTGTTTCCTTTTTATTTTAA